CCCCAAAACCCCAAAACCCCAAAACCCCAAAACCCCTTTTAAGCTCAGAGATCCTTTCAAATAATAATATTTTTATAAAATGGTTGTATCACTTTATATCTGCGATATTCCGCAAGACATAGAAAAGGAAGACCTTGAGAAACTCTTCAAGGACTTCGGTGGGTTCAAGGACCTCAGAATTGCAAGAGACAAGACTAAGTAATTTCCTTTCTAGCCTAATTATCATCCTGTTTAGACAAAAGATCGCTTTCGTCGATTATAAGACCGAAGAAGATGCTAAATGCGCTAGAGATTACCTGAACGGATATGTCTTTCCCAATAGCGAGAAAGGGATGAACCTCAGAATTTCAGAGAATTCCAAGAGGAAAGGAGCTGGTGGTGGCCAGTACCAAAGAGGTGAAAATGTTAGGAAAGAAAGTAAGAAATCCTACAATTTCAAATGTTTATTCTTAACCAAGACTTTTTGATGCTGGATCGGTGAAAATTTAAGCTAGATTCATAAAATTTCTTATAAAGATATTGCTAAAAAGAGCCCTAGAATTGGACTCAAGTGCTAACTTTGTTCTAGAAGATGACTTCCAAGAGAGAAGGGACAAGAATTATGACTTCCAAGGAAGAAATACTAGGGAGAGAAGAGACAGCAGAGAGCCTAGACATCAAAGAGATTATAGAGACCAGAGAGACCAGAGAGATCAGAGAGACCAGAGAGATCAGAGAGACCAGAGAGATGTGAGAGACCAAAGAGATGTGAGAAACTTTAGAGATCAGAGAGATTACAGAGGCCAAAGAGATATGAGAGACTTTCATGATGATCTTGGAGATCCTAGAATGAAGCAAGAAAGTTATGGTGGATACTCCCACAATAGAGGAAGAATGTCTGGGTATGATGATGAACCTTTAAGAATGATGAGTCAGTCCCGCTCTGGGCCTGGAAATACCTCAATTCCACAACAGTCATTCCTTCATAACCCCTTAGCAAATAGTAGAGGTCCTAATAAAATGAAGGGCATGCCTATGAGTCACGTTCAAGAACCACAGTCTTATGATAACTTAAATTCGAGTTTAGATATTCCTCAGTCTTATAACCAAGATACTTATCTGATTAATGATGTCGTGCCTACTTCGTCAGTCTCTGACATGATGCCTATTCCTAGCAACTCTGATGGTGCGAATATGTCTCATCTGGATCAGTATGTATTACCTCAAAGTACTCAGAATCAACTTGATTCTTCTCCAATGAATCCAAACCCAAACTATATATCTTCTGTTGGGGGAGGAGTCCAATCTGTCCCCATAAGTAATGTTATTGTCCCTTCAGGATCTAGCTCTGGAGGAAGAGTCCCTGTTCAATATTCTTCGATGGGTCAGCCTTCTGTCTCTCCTGGTTGGAATGGAGTCAGCCCAGGAGTGTTTAATAGCCAGTCAAATCCTAGTTATTATGATGCTCTTGTTGATATGTGTGAGCAATTTCATAACATTTTACCAATTCCCAAGAACGCCACTAACACTGTCTACGTTGAAGGAATTCCTGTTGGGACTAAGGAGAGAGAAGTGTCTCGTAAGTCAGCCTCCTTTATTGTATAGATATTTTCCGTCCCTTCCCCGGTTTCAGGTCTATTAGACTTATAAATCGTGATAAAAAGAACGGGGATAGAGTCATTTTCTGTTTTGCTGATTTTGAGAACAAACTTCAAACAACCATGGTCATCAACACTCTTCAGGTAGAGTCTCTCGTCCACGTTTTAGGGGTATCGTTTCGATAGAAATGACGAAACTGGCTTACACTTCTCCTACGCAAAAGTCAACAATAAGTCTCATAAGGATGCCCATCATCGGTCCAAGAACTAGATTTTTAAGTCTAATTATCTAGAGTCTTTCAATTGCTGCTAATTATTCAGGGGTTTTGGGGTTTTGGGGTTTTGGGGTTTTGGGG